AGCCGAGCCGCGCCGTGAAATTGCCGCGCGCGAGATCGAGACTTAAACGTCGTCGAGGCAGGTCGATAGGCGGGCTGCTGCGCGCCGTTACCCGGTATGCCCCATTTACCCCGATAGCTACGAATACGTGTATTATAGCGCCCGCTTCGAAACTCGTCCCGCCGCGCCGGTGGTCGACCTCCACCTGCAAACGACAATCCCTCGCGATGTAACGACTCGCGTTCCTCCGGGGACGCAGGCTGCAACCGCGTCGTGAGGGGGGGGGATGAAAAGCCGGGGTGGGCGAAGGGTTAAGGGTGGAGTATGGCAGGAATGTTGCGAAACGTTTCGCGGAGTTGTAGACGCGCCGTCTTCGTTGAATTTCCAGCGTGGGAAATGTACTCGATATTCCTCGCGGCACTCTCGGGGTTTTTTCTTCTCTTCACGGAATAAATTTGAGTTTATAGACGCGACTATTCCTCGCTTAGAACTAGACGTGTTCTTTTCCTAATCATTTTTCCAATTTAAGATGCATGGAACATTAATGGAACGTGTTAATTCAACATCAAAGAGAATACTCGATAGTGTAAAAAATATATCCAAATAAATTTAAAATAATAATATACCTAAATAAATTAAAAATATAAATTAAAAATCTGACTCGGAAAGTCGACTTTGTGTACAGAATGTCAAGTGGAGGAAGTCATCGCGATAGCTAAATCGCAATATTCATGATAGATATCGTCCTATTCGCTCTCGACGCTCGTAAAAATGATCTCGATCGATTATTCCGACTTTTACGATTTTTACTGGCAGTTTGACGCGCGTGAAAAAAAAATAGAAAGACGTAAAGTCATACTTCAGCACTCTAATAAGGCTGCTATAAATTGATATCGATTCCAAGAGCGGGGTTGCAGCAATGACGGCCGATAGCTGCTGGCGTTATCGCTTTTTCTTCCCCCGGGAAACGCGACGTGGAAAAACATTTAAAAATAACACGCTTGAAATCCGCGGCGTTGCGAATGCACAAATGGAACCGTGGACACGCTTCCTCATCTTTAATGATCTATCTGATGAAATGTGTATTTTACTTGTTTCAGGATCTCCGCGCCCTTCCAGGTGGTCGCCGCGATCTTGATCTTCGCCGCGACGGTGTCGGCTCTGATCGGCCATTGCTATTCCGATCACAGGACCCTCGTGGCCTGCGGACTTTTCCTCCTAAGTGGTAAGTAAATACGTCATCGAACTTTCTTAACCTTTTTTTTTACTAAAAATCTTTACCGTTAATTATTCACTGTAACGAAGTAAATGTTATTGATTTCGTATAATAAAATATATTTTGTTATTTTGATTGCGCAACTTAAATTGTTTTAGTTCCGTTCGTTTTCCCGCGTTGTCGTCAATTCATCTCTACATGTTAAACATAATATCTATAGGTTTTGTGATAACGATTCATTATGTGGGAGCACACGTATTTGGCAGCTCGCGGCTTACTTTACTTTCCCGGCAACTCAATTCTCGGGGGAGCGGGAATAGGGAGGGTGATGTCTCCATTCACGGCGAGATGCACACGTTCGCGCGCTGCAAAGGGGGTGGAAATGATCTATCTGCCCCCGCGGTTACAGGGGACCTGCGGATTACGGGGTGAGATCGGGATGCGCCAGCGATCTAAACGCGTCCGTCGCCAAGGAACGCCGACGCCTTCCCATTTCCAAACCTTTCAGGACGACCCGACCCCCGTATATCTTACCCTCCCGCCCGCCCTCCTCACTTCCGCGACCTTTCTTCCTTTTTCTCATCCGGCAGGTGAGTCGATATCGTGTGCGCGCATGATTCAAACGAAATCGAAATTCGGGCAGGAGTGACGCGGGAATCGAAAGGGGGATGAGAAAGGGTCGGTAATATCGTCGCGTGGAGTCGAATTGATTTCTTCGGCGGCACGAGGGGGAGAGACGGAGAGAGAGGTATGGGTTTCAACATTTTAATAAAAACCACCCGCGGTTTTGTCGTCGGTGTCGATGAAGGATAGCGTTGCATGTATATGAGGGTAAAGTGGCGTCACGTGGACCACGCCGCTTCCTTCTTCCGAGAAAGTCGTGCGGAAAACGTTCTTTCAAAATACATATAGCAAACACTTTCTTGCAATCCTTCTTCTCGCCGTGTCAAATACGACATTAATTGTATCCGATCTAAAACGCCCGCAATACTTTGACAATATTCTGGAGATTAATTAGGGTCGTAAATCATGGTACGAAAAAAAAAGTTGTTTCAGAGAATAAGCGTGAAATTTGACGTGAAATCGGTTACGTATTGAATAACACAGATAAATACGGGTATCAACTTGTCATATTGCCAATTTTCCACCAGAATCATTTCCGTATGACGTAGCGGGAATTATTCCAAGTACTTTAAAGTAATCTCTTTCGCAAATACGCTTATGCAAATCCCCGTTATACTGCCAAGTGCGCCGAGTTACAATCGTAGGAACGACATGTGATCTCTGACGAGTGTTATATGCGTTGCTTTTCAAGTTCGCTAACTCACAATCACGCGAGATTTGACTTATCGATCTTTTCATCTTTTCATCTCTGTTTCCGATTAAACGTGCACTTTCGATCGTACATAGATATGCGAGAAGGTGTTATACGTCTATCTCATATAACTTTTCTAACTGATCGGTATTGTACGTCTACTTTGGGTAACTTATTATTCCGGCCGCGTCCAGGCGGAGATCGATAGCAAGAAAAGCTCCTTCTGCTGGCAGCTAATTGTCACCACCGGTAGATAATTAACGTTCGTTTGTTAGACGCGCGCGTGTCGATTATGTCGGGAAAGGGGCCAGAATATTAATCAACTTTTACACTTTTTCGCATAATGAACCTCTTTATTGCAGAATTATACTAAACAAGAAAAGATTTTGATTTAAACTTTAATTTTAATTAGAAACATATATCTTATTCTTTTGAAATAAATCCTATTCTAATAAAAAGAACTTTCATATCTCGTGAATATCGGAGAAATTGAACTACACGATATGAAAACTATATACAATGAAAAAATGGGACAATAATCGTCGGGAAATCAATGAAATATTGTTAGCGCGAACCGAGAAGATTTAAGGCCCGTTTATAGTCGTTACTTGAATTTCACCTCAAAAGCGTGTCGGGTAATATATTCAAAACAAACGAACGTGAGATCTGAAAGACATGATGCATTTTCCGCACAATCAGTATTGCTGTCAATATATGAATTTTTCATGCTCTCGCGCGATATATGTCTTTATGAATTTTCATATCAATTCATGAACATTCCATTGTTACGTTATCCATATGCTATTCAATTGATTTTTAATATATGTTAAAAATAAACGTTGTTTTAGAAAATCATATATTTTAATAGCAAAATAAAAAAAATGTTAATATTTTTAGAAGATTGCAAAAGAAAGAGTTTGTATTATTTTTTGCTAAGTTTATTTCACTTTTAAAATATCGTTTATTATTTTTATACTTTCGAAATCGCTCTGTAAACGTCATACGACTAATATATCTTGCAATTAGTGTTCTACTCTGTAATAAAACACTACAATGTGCTAATCGGTATAGTAAGCTCTTTGTGAACTCTATGTATGCGTATAAACATATCTTATTGTGGCCCATCCATTTCAAAGCATTGGATCTATGAAATGCTATATTTCTCTGATATTGTATCTTCTCGATTCAATATACGTGCATGCTACATGCACCCTGTGTGCAATATATCTGATGCAATATTTATTCGCAGATACATTACAGATCCGTTACCTCACTGCATGTAAAATAAAAGTTAATTTGTCACTCATCGATATCGTATGTAGCAACGGAGTTGCAAACAACATTGGAAACTACGCGTTGATCTGTAAAAATATCTCCCGGTTATTACGGCAAAATAATTAATGTTTTTAAAAAATATTATTTCACACATTGAGTTTTGCATTCATCTCAAATACAAATATTTGTAAAAAAAATCATGTAATTTCCGGAGAATTTTTCATTTTAATAACGTTTTATAAACACAAATAAAGCTTTCTCTCTAATTCCTTTCCAAACAATTTGACTGAATAATTCAAGTGCAGAAATAAATGACTAATTCCGCATATAAGTTTATAATAAATAATATGGTACAGATATTATATATTATTACATAAATTAAGAAGATACAAAATATTAGAAAAATATATAATAATATGTAAATAATAACTAATTACTTATTCCAAAAGGTTTCCTCGCCGTTGCCCGATGCCTCAATTGCACATCATAACACTCGCAGTTAATTACAATTGCACGACACTTTATACACAGCACTCTATGAAAGTTGAAATTAATTAAAATCCAATCTCTCGCAAATATACGAAGACAACACTCGAATGCCACATGTGAGTCATTTGGCTAAGTCAATTACTGCTCCATCTCGTGGCAATGCAGTGTTCTGAGTGTATAATAGCTTCTCTTTCAAGTACTGTGCATCTTTCATTAACATCAAGATAATGAAATTAACATCAAGAACATATGCCTGCAAGAAATTATTGCAGAAATGTGATACATGCGACATGTTGATACCAAAAGCACTAACACGAGCCAATCCGTCACTTTAGAATATTTAACGCGTCATAAAATAATTATTGTCAAATATCTTGTTCGACTCATCGCAAGTTGATTATTAAAAAATGATCGATTATATGATCGGCTTTTAGTTATTTGAATCCCTCAATCCGCGCGTTACTCTGCGCTCTCAATTTTGAAAATATAGTGATAGAAAACTTAACTAGGTGGAAAAATTCAAATCGCGAAGCTAGATACATTCGATATACAAGCAACAATTAATCGCCCGTAAATATTACAAGGTAATAATTTATAATTCTCGTTTCTCCGTTACTTCGATTCTTATCTCACTCAAATAAATAATGGCGCGATATATCTAAATAGTCATCGTCGGGCTTGTAAATCATTAATCACAAGTCAATTATTCACGCTGGTTGTGATTATTCATGCTAATTATTGTTTTTCTTCCCTGATAAGGCTGCAGCTCGAGTTGAGCCTCCTGGAGAAAAGCCGCGTCCTACGTGGACCGGACGACTTTTTCTTGGTTTCGTTACAGTTGCAATTTTTATGAGAAGCGGTTATAAGCCCTCGACCTCCGTTTCGGAGAATCCTTTATTTTTAATTCTTATTTATTCTTGTTGTTACTGTTTGGAGATTTTCCATTCTCCAAGGAACGGCGTAGTACCGATTTGTTTATTAACCCAGTTATCTTTGGAATTAAGTTCATGTTTCTATCACAGTAAAGTATTTACATACTCAAAATTCCTAGTATTGTATATACGAGATGGCAATTCCGGGAATCGAAACCGGATCTTTTGCTCGACAAACGTTGCTGTTGCACTGAGATATCCGGCGCACCGCTATTATTATGCGATGCTAATTGTTCGCAAGAAACGATCGCGTTTTGTGAAATAATAACGTGATGTTATATATATAGAGCGGCTCGTGCCGCTGGTTACCGCCTCGAGCATCACCGAATTGCGAACGATAACACGATTGTTTACCCAGAACACTCAGTATGCCGCAAAAATAAGTGGCCGAGAGCCAGCCGAATATTAATGTCAAAATATTTAACGCTTCATGGAATAAATTCACGCCGATTATTTCTCTCATTGCGTTTGACGTTGATTACTCGATGAACGAATTATTATCGCGCATCATATCTGACATCTTTATTTGAAAATGAGATTATTTAATTTATTCGATCAATCAATCAAAACAATTTATTCTGTATTTCTTATTTAATTTTTTACGAGAAATCATCGCTACACCGATGATATATCATAATTTATGGCATCTCTACAAATGAGGCCACACAATGTAATCTCACACTTCAAGATTGCGCCTACATCGATAGAAATTAAAAGACTCGAAGAAAAAAACCCTCAAAAGACTCCAATTAAAATTCTGTCAGCATCGCCGTTTCAATTCCGACGTTAAAACTCCAATTAGAAATCCTGTGCAAACTGCAGCGACAATCGTGCGAAATATTAGGCGCTTTCATGCTTTCCGCGAGAAACATCAGAGAAAGGACTCACTCCTTGTACAACTTTTTATATTAGTAATTGCCATTTTCTTCAAGAGAACTTTATAATATGAGATACTTAAGGGAGGTTTTAAATATCGAGCGAGCCTCGAGTCGCGACGATATTTCCAACGGCGTTTTAATAGCGCCGCGGAAGAATAAAAACCGTGTACTTTAATGAAAGAAACTTGCCCATGCGAGGATCCGCGAAATAAAAAGCCGTCACGAATAAAAGGAGATTGATTTTTTGGGGAACTTGGTTTCATCTAGGTCGACTCGATAGAAAATGGGACGACCCGCGTAATGGATAAATCAAGCGCAAAACTCGCAAAATTTTATTCTCTATTATTCCTTTTCTGTGTAAAACACACATATATATAATATATAATTTGTGACTTATAATTGTTAATGTTTTTAACGTTGGTCATTGTTAGAGTACATGAGTAATATTTATAATGCTGTATTTTGTGTTAGGTGATAATAATTTAAGAAGCGGATCCAGAAAAGCATATATCATGCGTGCAATAATTAGTTCATAGTCCAGCAAAATATGAAAGCGAGAATAAATTACATATACATGGGGTAGAAATAAACATATCAGTTGTTGAAAAATGAACGCGGAATGAACGTCCGCGAGCAGTAACGTGCGTAATAAGAGAAGTCTAAAAACAAGAGACACAAGTTCTCGAACAACGTGCCGACTGTTGATTCGCATTAGCCACCCCTTTCCTCTCTCGCCTCATCTGATATTAATTCAGAAACACCCTTCGCGCGGAACGAGAGCGCCTCCGGCGAAACTTTCGCGCGGATTTTTGCATAATTGAACATTCTTTTCGCGTGAGAGGCGAGGGGCGGGAAAGGGGCGCGGAAGGAGTCGTGGGTAGTATGACTCCCAAGTTGCAAAAGGTAATGGAGAGAGAGAGAGAGAAAGTGAGGAGGAGGGAAGAGAAAGAGAGAGGGAGAGAGAAATCGCAGAATGGAGATAGCTTTGCTCATTCGCCCGCGTGTCTACAGCCTCGCGATAAAATTCTCGGCGGATTTTCAAGTAACCTCCCCCGTTCCCCGTGCCGCACCTGCGAACATAGCCGCCAGACTATCCGAGACGAAGCAATTTCGGAAGCGGACTTCGGAATCGCACTCGAGGGGCACGATTGCGCCAGTGCCGCGTTTAGACATGTGCCGCGCGTATACGTGTCAGCCTGAGGCCCTCGGTGTTTAGGAAGCGGAGAAATTTGCATGAATCAGAAAATTTTTATGCTGTTATTCCATTACATACGGAGCGCTTACAAGCCAGTTAATTGTGCGTTTAATCGTCATAAAAAACTTATTTTAAACGAAAAACCGACTCCCTAAGTATACCAAATATTTCAGATATATGTGTGAATACATATATTTTCTAAGCAAAATCTAAATAATTAAAAACGTAGCTATAAATAAACATTATTCTTATTGTTATTTATTGTAATAATCTCTCATTTATATCGCTTTCTCATTTTTATTTTAAAAAAAGCGAAGACATTAGATTAAATTGTTATGAATAATGTCATTGAATTTAAAATTTAAATATCTTAAACTCTAACTCTCTAGTAGCTTGAAGTTAAGTCGGGAAAGCATTTGGATGTAAAATATGTTCAGGGTGTTAAGGAGATCAATAATAAAGCGTTATTTTAATACGTTATTCCATATCATTGGAACATGGAAATTTCGAAGTGCTTTTAAGTGGAACAGTTAAATCCAGCGTTTTGATGTTATACAAAAACTATTTAATTAATACTTAGCTCTTAAAATAAAAAGTATACGAGAGAACTAATATTTCTTGGAGTATAAAGCTAAACATTGATTTTTATATAATTGACCTTATTATATATTTGATTTGGCGAATGTTTTTATACCTTAAAACGGTTGAAACTTTGAAAAGAAAAATTCTCCAAAAAGTCACAACACTCACAACTCGTTATCTATGTTCGATCATTTTGACAGAAATGTGAGCCTAGCCGAACTGTAGTATTAAAATGGATTAATTATTGTTTTCGTTCGATCATTTCGAATGATCAAAAATTTTCAGAGATAGTGTCGTCCTCGTCGTCCTTAGAACTGAAGCGCGAAAGTATGTATTCATCATCCTCATCATCCCAGGTTGAAACTTCGGTGGCGGAGATCGATTTCGGCGTGGTGATGTTGTGTCGGTGGCCCGATTTTGGATCAACTCGGTCAAACTTCGCGCAGAAAACACGATGACCCTTACGGTCCATCTCTTCGATTATGTCAAGTCCCCTAATCAATGATATAATAATTAATTAATGATCGATGAGAAACTGATTGATGGCGTGCAACAAATAATTTCGACTAGTCGGTTCCATTCTCACTTAAAATTAATTGATCGATAACAATTAAACGAACATAATGCGTTTCGCCAATGGAACTTTAATAAAACGAAGATGACGATGCGCAAAGTCATCAATATTATCGTCATGTTGATATAAATGATAAAACAATAATGTAAGTAATAAAAAAAACTCGCGTATTTCACTGTACTTACTTATTTATGCATTCCTGAGGATCGTAGAAGGTACGGAAGCACTGCTTGCATCGTTTGAAGTAGACTTTTCTCACGGCATATGGGTAAAAGCCGCGTATTTGCTTCAAACAATCGTAAAATTGCAACTCGCACTCGCATAATGAGCTGTAAAAAGTCGAAAAGGAAAATGCACTCGCGCGCTTAACGAACCCAGTTAGTATTACGGTACCTTCTGCAAATTTTCGCGTTAAAAAGCCCATATTTTGTAGTTTTCGGTCTTATGTAGTCTTCGCAGCGATCGTGAGTTCTGCAACACTTGTCCATCTCCGAGTACATGCCCAGCTCGGAGTCGTCGCGGGCAATATTTCCCCGGCCGCACCAAAGAGTGCCTAAAGAAAGTAACAAAGCCGTGTAACAAAAAGATCATATAATTTATAATAATAAATATCAAAAAAAAACAAACAAATAAAAATAATTAATTGCAAATTAACAATTAGTCGAAAAATTTTATATAAAATATGAATTACAAGGCACATTGTTTTTATAATATCAATTACAGGATATTAATATATGTCCTTTACAATAAAAATAAGGTACTATTATTTTTTAAATATTTTACTGAAATTAAAAATTGTTAATTAAAAATTTTATCTTTATTTATATATAAATCAATTTGTAATTTTTTAATATAAAAATTAATAAAATTAATTGAGCAGGAATTTTATGACGCACACAAAAGAAGCTAAATTAAAAATAACAATTAGCAATTACACATAAAATGTTTCAAAAGGAATTTCAAATAATTTAAAATCGTGTTAAGTTATTAAATTTTTAATGGTTTTAAAATAAATGAATGTCTTTTTCTGAATATAGATTCAGAGCTTAACAAATTATTTTATTATACATTTCTCATGAAATAAAAAAATAGTCGTTAAAAAAGTGTTTGCAAAATATGAATAAAATACAAGTTACAAGATATAATAGTTTTATAATATCCATTATATAAAATAAAAACAAAGTACTATTATATTTTAAATATTTAGCTGCTTTTGCTCAGCAAAATAAAAAGTATACATTAGTATATATGCTATTTAAATAAATAAGAAGAAATAAAAACGATTTAATTATCACAAATTCTAAAAGACCTAATTGCTTAAAGCAATTGAACCTTTATTCAATAAATAAATAAGGAAAATTACCTGGGAGGATTCCATGTCGAAGATTTGTAATTGACGCGGATAAACCCCGTAAATAATCTTTCACGTGACCTTCCGTTACACCGTAATCATTAACAAACAGTGCAAGCACGCAAAATGCGATTAGACTAATCACACCGATCCCCCTCATTTCAAGATAATTAATGGAATTTATTAACAAGAACGTGAATTGCAAATTAATGTTAAGCCCCAAGCGTTCAATCCCAATGTCCAGATGAGATTTTCATAATACGTTTTATGATTAATTCACGTCGAAATTGCGCGTGTTAACATCGCGCGACACGAAACAAAACTGTTATACGATGATCCGCTAAAAATACAAATTATGATACCGACGTTTAGATTTTATTAACGCGTACGCGCGATACTCGTCACCGCACAGAATTTCCTGCCCGCGCGCTTCCTCACCGCCAGTTTCCTCGCGATACCGACTTTAGTATCTAAAATTAACCAGATTTCAAACACATTGACTTTTCGACACAGATATGTGTGATGATAACACTTAATAATAGAATTATAATATGGCGTTATGTAATAAATTATGAATTAAAAGTAGAAATAAATTATTATTGCGTAATTTAACTTTCGTTTAATTAACTTTAACACAATTCACTGATATTCTTCTATCAATAATCACTTGAAACAAGAAGAGAATAATCAGGCAGAGCCTGAATGTGGTTTTACCGAGAGTCTTAATAAGACTGGCGAGTCAAGCAGGTAGCAGGCCAACGAGTTTTGTGGTTCTCTCTGTGGATCTCCCCTATTCAAGACACGCGTCTAAACTGATGATAAAAACGGCAGTACGTGTATGCCAAAGAGAAACAGATTCCTGAAAGGTGGAGTCCCATCAGGTAGACAATTCTTAGATAGGACAACACCTGAGTAATCGTTTCGAGACACAAATCAAGGCGGAAGACTCCGAGTTGTTGTCTTTGAAACGGTATCACCCAATATCAAATATCACTCTCTGCAAATTTAAACGGCGATCTAATCTCTTAATGCACAGCTCCTCAGATGTCTCATTTTGACGTTTATGACGAGAAGATACCTCAGCCAAAATGTGCACGCCACTCCGATGATGAGTCATAGATAGATTGTGTACGATTTATTATTACTAAAGTTAGAAATCAGTTCTTTTTATATAATTTTCAAGTTCGGAAATCTTTGTTTTTAACATTATCTTCACGACTGTAAATGTATTATTTTTCTTTTGTCACATAATAATCTTTTATCAAGAGACACGGTAGTGTCTCGCGCCAAGTACGCGCGAAGCGAGACGCACCGTGACTCTTTTACGCGAACGCATGAGTTGCGAGTATCCGAGATTTTGAGATCTCAATAACGAGTGAACGGATCAATTTCTAAGTAGGTTCGATCGATAGCTTGGGGTTTGATTTATAAATAACAGTCTTTTTTTTCCGTTACGTGCCCTACGAGCGAAGATATTGCGATGCAAAGTCCAAATGTGGAAAATTTTTTTTTAAGAAACGTCCACGTCGGACAAAAATGGCGGCTGGTGTGTCACTTTCCCATTTTTGACACGAGAGTGCATTCGTGCACTGTCGCAGTGCGTGACAGTGACAGTTTTTTACAACCTAGAAAAGGATAAGTGTAAAGTGTGTGATAGTCGTGACCGTTGCCGCGTCGTGACAGATAGTGAAATATATATAAGTATTGACCGTAGAGAGCTGATGCCGATAGATCTTTAAGAAGGAAGGTGTATCTACAAAATCGTACAAACACGTACGTATATGCTGTCTTGTAAAAGTTGTCAAACTGTATGTTTACGCGAGCGTTACTTCTGTAGTAACTTACGATAATTCACTCGTTTACGCGGAGTAAATTATCGTAAGTTACTACAAAATCCCGTTTACGCGAAGGAAAATTCTGTTTACGCGAAGGAATTATCGTTAAGTTTACTACAGAAGTAACGCTCGCGTGTAAACGTAGTAAGTGAAATATATAAAGTATTAACCACAGAGAGATGTCAAGGAGATCTTTAAAAGAAGGAAGGTATATTCAAAATGGCACACGTACGTATATGCTGTCTTGTAAAAGTTGTCGAACTATATGTTTACGCGAGTGAGTACATCTATATAGTAACTTACAGAAATTCATATTAAGATACGTCGTCGTCTCTCAATCAGAGAAACGTAACCTTCACTACTTTCAACGGTGGCTCTTGATTTCCGATCATAATAGTTACTATAAAATCTCCCGTTTACGCGGAGGAATTATCGTATCGTAAGTTACTACAGAAGTAACGTTTGCGTAAATAGATTATAAAAATAACACGATGTTATATATGTGGTTTGCCGTGAATATATATATATATGTGTGTGTGTGTGTGTGTGTGTGTGTGTGTGTGTGTGTGTGTG